TGTTAAATTACCCTAAAACTGAAAATAAAGATTCCCACTGCTCCTCCTGCACATTGATGCACATATTTGTGCTTGATTTCTCAAAAGAAAAAAAATCATAACAATGTGCTCAAGTGTTTATTAAACTGAAGCAAAAGATTTTTCAATTGTTTCTTTTTATTTTGCTCTGTATTTTTTCTCATTTGGCCAGTTTAATTTTTTGCCTCACGAAATAGCTGTTTCCAAGGCATTTTTTCCTGTTTGCAAACACCCACACACACACACACACAAAAATTACAAGTATCTACAACTATTATGCACAAAAGTAATAGTATGATCTTAAAACTTTTGCACCACCTGTAACTTTTCAAGACTCTTTTCAGACAAACAATGTCTTCATGGAGGAGAGTAAAAAAAATCTAAAATTGTTGACTATGTCATATTTGTACTTCTTTTTTTGAGTAATCAAATTCAAAAAAAAGTTATGACACTGTTATCACCCTGGTGAAACAGTTTAATGACAATGCCACAGTTTTAATTTGTGCTCATATTGAAGTATCATTCACTGTCAAAATAATAGTCAAGTCTGCAAATCTAAAGTTACCATCAACAAGTGTGACCACCTTTGTTAAAATCAAAAATGGTGGTGTGGGGACTGCATGTATGTGAAATGTTCTTTCCTCATTATTACATAAAATAACTTAAATTGTGCTCAGTGTAGATGTCACGGTTTGGGGTTTATTTTAAAGAAGTCCATGTTTGAAGCATGTGCTTGAAAACAAAAAGCAACTTACCTAAGCGAAAACCTTTTCAGAATTTACACAATCTCTGGTTGGCATAGTGCTGCAAAATAATTGGTTGTAATTCAGGACAAATGTTGCCTTTAAGTGATGATGCTATCCTGAGAGATTGTCTTGCCAAAAAGGCAGTGCTGACGTTTGCATACCATCTTGCACATTTGCTATGTAGAGGAGATGAAAGTCTGGATTTTATCTGTTTTGTGCCTTTCACTTCTGGAGTTAACCTTATCAGAATAACATTAAATTATTCATAAGAAACGATGTATTGTAAAGAGAGATTTCTATCAGTCACTAAGTGAATTAAAGGTGAAGGATTTTTCGCTTGTATCAGTGTATTCAGCCAACGTTACATTTTTTTTCCTCACAATCTTTTTTTTTTTTCATTGTCATGTTTTAAAGCTAATAAATGAGAATGAATATCACAGTCACAGATGGTCCTACTTTTCGATCAGCTTTGTGCTTTCATTTAGTTCAGATTTGGAGATCACAAATTTGATTCCGATTAGAGTTCTTTCAGGCAAAGCTGTCACAAAAAGCCTCCGAGGAGAGATATAGAAGGAGGAAAAATGGACCCTGACAGATTATATGAGGATACCACATGAAAAGAACAAAAAATATATCGACTTTAAATTACGGTATTTTATATTTGCTGATGTACATCAAGAATATTTCACGTCTTTGATGTTACTGTTTTAAATCGTGCATTTACTTTGAAATTAAGTGTGTGGAAGTCTCCACAGTGTGCAAATGCCTTTCATTACTTCTGCTTTTTTTTTATTTTTATAAACTGTCTCATTTTATGTTTTTTTGTCGAAAATGACCGTTGTCTTCCTATGCATGCTCGATTCTGCTTGATTCGCTGCACAGCTCAGCCTGAGCTTTCTCCCATTGACTTAGATTCCTCTAGTCGAACGTCAGCCTGGCCAATCAGCGAACAGGAGGAGAAGTTGTGAAGAATGACGTTGATTTTCTGCGCTATCTTAGTATTGTAGTCTGCCATTCAGTCGGTGTTGGCCACGCTTCCAAATATTGAATAAAACAGTTTGGCACTTCTCGCTCAGAAGAGGAGGATGGTTGTTTACAGCACAGGCACTTTCCAATAGGCTTCACAGTCCTGAACTGGTCCATGACAAACATTAGTACGAGTATGGAAATTTATCAAACGTTATCAGTTGGATTTAGTTTCAAACTTCAACAGAATCCACGCCTAAAGCAAGCAATTGTTTGTCAAAAGTGGATGGCCCAGACCTTCCTGTACAAAACAAAGCATAGAGTAAGGGATTGGCTTGTACCATATGAGTTTTAGTCTACAATTATGGAAAACCCCAAAGTGGTGGGACAATTACTAACTTAATTACTCAGAAAGTAGGTTATGCTGGCAGTTTCTTTTTTTGTTTCAAGCATCCATCAAAGGGAGTGAGTCTTTATATACCCAGACAGAGACATACTAGTGATGCATCAGGAATGTTATTACTGTCACGATATATGTCTAAAAATAGCTTGGGAAAGCTGGCATGGCTGGTAATCAAATTGTGATACAGTGTCTGTGAATGTATGGCACAGTGTCAACGTAACTGCAAATGGAACAACGCTACCGACCTAAAGCAGCACATCTTCCCATGAACTGAAGCAAAAAGGCAGATAAACAACATTGTGATGGGCGAACAGTGTAATATCGAATAATAAATAAAAGAATGGGAACTTCATTCGAGCAATATCATCACAAATTCAAACAAGGGTAGGTGGAGGAATCTATAAAACTCAACCTTCAATTTACAGATAAATAAAAGTGCAGACCCAGACATAATACAGCGCCATTCTGCATCACAAAATATTGCTGCTGTCAGATACAGGAGTCTTGTATCTCCAAAAGCAAAACTTTTCAGGAAATGGGATGGAGGAGGAAATATTGCCACTAAACATAAATTCATACTGACTGGTTAAAGTTACATTTTCTTAAAAAAATAAAAAATGTCAGTGAAAGCCCAGAGATATGCGAAGGTGATCATTAGAGTTGATTTTGGTAAAGCAAATTAAACTAAAAATGAAATGCAAGGTTTTTGCCTGAAAGCAACAGTGAGCTGTGCAATTAAGAGCAACGCAGCTTCATTTTAAAACAAATGTATGGACTCGCCGTATGTGTCGGTTTGATGATTAACATCCAGACTCTGACATGCTGTAATCTGACAGATGCACAGCCTCGGTAGCTTCTATTTTCGCTCTATCATTTGCAACTCTGCTCACTGGTGAAGCAATTTTCAAACTTAGGCTGTTAAAGTAATACGGTCCACTTTTGTCTTCACAAGATGTGCACTTGAATTTCAAACATCGCTCTGCCTTCTTTTCCACATCTTATAGAAACAAACATCTTATTTTGAAGCTTTCACATTAGATTCTTTAAAGAAATAAGAACACTGGAAGCTTCGGCTGGATTATTACCGCCGAAGCAGAGAGGAGTTGGAAATTTATTATAGCTGAATATATGGCCGCTTAGCAATCTGTCAACACTTGTGGAGCTGGCTTGCGCTGCTGTGGCTCCTCCTTCACACCCAAGCCGTCAAAAGAACCACTTGAGTTGACTAATGTACCATCACTTCTTCTCATCCTCATGCAAATATATGCAGCAAAGGCGCCCCAAAGTCTAATCAGATCATCCACTCTGTAGAGAATGCAATGGGAGAAAAAAAAACAACAAAAAGAAATGGCGGTGTGAGAATTTTGAATCTTTGAATAAGGGGGTTCATTCCCAAAGAGAAAAAAAAACTGTCACTCCTAACAAAAGTTTTCATACGTCTTGATCATTTTCACATTTTGTCTCATTACAACCATAAGTTTTGGTGGATTTTATGAGACACGAGATCGCTGCAATTAAAGCAGCTATTCTTTTGTGTAGAATAGCTACATGTGGAATACAGCTTTCCACATGTATTCTGTGTGATGTGGAATCCGCTCTTTGACTGGGTCATTCTAGCATAAAGAAAAATATTTTGATCTGTGTCATTTGTCTGTAGCTTTAACACTCTGGGGTGAAAAAAGCATTTCAGCAGCACGATGCTCCCAGCCCTATATTTCTGTGTGAGGATTATGTATTCAGGGTTATTCCATTCAATTTTACTGAAATGGTTCCACTTCACCACACACGCCTCAAAAAAGAGTTTATTTCAGTTGCATATGTCTTGTTAATGTGTGTATATATTTCAATGCAGTCAATTTAAGTTCACTATATGCCAAGAGTTGAAGAAGTTATTTGTTTGAAAAAGTCTCAGTTCAAAAATAGTTCGTGGTGACAGTGGAAAGCAACATCTATTTAGCACAACAACAACCGCAGTTTATCTGCCACAAAAGCAAAAAAAAAACAACTTTTAATTCTGCTCTAATGATCTTCAGATATTCAGCAACATGTTTGCTTTGCCCACTGTGACAAACTACACACAGAACATTCTTTTCTTTTTGTTTTACTTCTATTAAAAATTTACTTTCATCTCGTCTCTGTTGCACAAAAGTCATATTTTTGGACGGTACTCTTCTCTTTGTTTTGACATCCCCACAGCATGAGAACAGTCCTGCCAACAGGTTCTCCCACTTGAAATGTGGTTCGCAGTAATTTGGGCAAAAGGCCCAACTTACTTTTCAACTCTTATTTTTTCCTCTGATTAATATTCTTTTTCTCCAGTCTTTCAGTTTAGATTGGCCATTATGCCACTTTCCATTTTGAGTCATGTTTTCTTTTTTGATTGTTTTATTGCCTAACCTTGCATTGTCCTTCTCCATAACTTTCTCCATGATCTGCCTGGTGTGTTCCTTGGTCATATCTGAAAGTTCAATAGACATGGTGGGTTGTCTTTATTTTTCACCACGTTAATTGTTTGCAGAAATGTCGGCGTGATTAATCACGTATTAGTGTCCAAATAAGGAAAATCAAGCATGATGTTACAAAAAAAAAAAAAAAAGCGGAATTGTCCTTTTTAGAGCTTGAGGAATTTGACATCATGTAGCTATACTTTGCTGGCTGACGTCAGTAGAGGTAGAATATGTGTTTGTGTGTTTGCGTGAGCAGGCGGGTGCGCGCGCGCGCGAAAGAGAGAGAGAGGGGTGAGAAAGATGGAGGATGGAGTAGGAGGAAGAGGAGGAGGGAGGAGGAGGAGGAGGGGATGGGGAGTTCCGACGTGAACGCGCCTGACAGATCCCCGGCGGAGAGGGCAGCGAGAGCGCGCATCTCCGTCCTCCGCTCATGAAGACACTGCAGGGGAGCCAGATGCCCGACTGCGAGACGCTGCCTGTGGATCCTCATCCCGAATGCCAGAGCAGGCGACACATCTCATCCCACCGCACAGAGGAGGAGGAGGAAGAAGAGGAAGAAATGGAGGAGTGAGATATAATGCTTTTTTTTTCTTCTTTTTTTCTGTGTGTGATTTCATCTTTCGCTTCCAACTCGCTCCCTGTCTGTTGTTTCGGCGTCTGCTTTAAATGAAGAGCCTCTTTGGACTTGGAGTACCGGGCATCGTGAGAAAAAAGAGAAAAAACCACCCAGTTATTCCACTGCTGCTGCTTCTGCTGCTGCGGTGCCGCTTACTGTGAATTTGGAATATGTCGTGCGGCTCCCTGCACCAAACCATGGAGATTATATCACGTGGATTTACGCTTTTTTCAAACAAAACTGGACATCTACAGTAACGTCGTTTTTTTGGTAGATTATTATTTTTTTGGGAGGGGGATTGCGTTGTCCCTCGTTCTTTTTGTTTGTTTTTTGTTCTGTTCTTTCATTTGATCTGTGCCTACTTTTCTTTTTTTTATGATTTCATGAATTTAGATTTTTCCTTTAACCTTTTGTTCAGATTGTTTTTATTTCCATTTATACTTTCTTCGTTTTCCCTTTCCTTCTTCTCTTTTGGACTCGATGAAGTGGGATGCCTCACGGAGAACATTAGTGGGGCGCAGCAGCAAAACGTGAATGAATAATAATCCCCTTCTCCGTCTGAGACGTGCCATGGATGGGAAACTTAACTTATGTCCACGGAACCGATCGGGGAATAGCCTCCTCCTCAAATAACTGCTGCTGACAGCGACCAGGTAACGTGAGCCTATCGGCAAAAAGAGAGAGAGAGAAAGAAAAAAAACTCAACTTTGTCTTGCTGGTGTGTGTTTATTTGCTCTGGTCTGGACGTGCCTATTTTTGATGTCGCATCCAGCTAATAGCTTCAGCCTATTTGGATAGGATTGTCACAAGGAATGAATCAAAACGCCTGTTTATTTATTTATTTTCTTTTTTAGTTTGTAATGTGGAAGATGGATCACAGGTGGGACAGCAGACAGTTCAAATATTCCCAATCCCCGAAGGAGAGAGCAGGGATTGAGCTTTAGGATTCTCGCCTCTAAAACCGACCTGGAACTTTGCGCAGTGGCCACGCAGACGCATGCACGCACGCACACACACACACACGCACGCACACTGTTTCCACTTTCTATTCTAGTGTTTCTAGACGCAGTGGCAAGCTCACTTTCCCCCATCCACCATCCGCTTGGAAGACAGAGGAAGGGCTGTTGCAACCTACCTTTTTTTTTTTCTTTTTTTTTTGAAGTTTTCTTTATTAATCATATATTTTACTTTTAGTTGGTGACAACTAATTGTTGGCAGAAGAATACATCGTCCGCGGTCTGATTACAACGATTTTTTCCGTGCGCAACTGTGCGCCCGTATGTGTGAGCGGGCGCCTTCCGCCGTTGAATGTTAAAGAGGATGCGCGCAAGAGCATGCATGGGGAGAAAAGAGGAGATGGGGCTGTGGGAGGGGGAGTTCACTGGCAGCGGATCGTGCAACAGAAAGCCCTTTGAAAGCTGCAACATCGCGGCGGGTTCAGTCTGCGCCTGCCGCAGTGCCGCGTCGTGCAGCGCCAAAACTCCGCTCTGCCTGCGAGCACGTCGGGGCAAAACTCTTCTCTCCAGAACCGCTCGCCTTCAGGAAAGCGAGCAGGTGGCTCCCGCGTGACGCTGAGCGAGAATGACAACCTGGGACGCGACGGAAAAGGGAGTGCGAAGCAGCCTCCGAGCGTCCTCTCCCTCTGTCTGTTCCTCTTCATGCCATCTGTTGAGCGTGCGGAGCGTGCGCTCCTTTCTTCACGCACCTTTTAATTCAAACTCCCATCCCTGACCACAGTTGAATCTTTGCTAAATATTCATTTTAAAAAGAAAAAGAGAGGGGGGGGGGGGGGGGGGGGAGTTGCTCAGACGGCAGCGAGGAGCTGGATTGTGTTGTTTCTTTAAAAATGCCATCTGTGACATGTTGAACTTTCTGCCTAAACTCGTTGTGCGGGAGGCTGTGCAGGACGCACTGATTCGTGTGCAGCGTCTGTGCGACTCGTTTAGTTCAGATGAACAGGTCATCAGACTCCAGGTTTTTTTTTTTGCTCAAGTACCCACGTATTGTGAACTATTTTGTGACACCACAATCACGTGGCTGTGATGTGAAAAGACGCACGATTGTCAACATCCAACAACTAAAAATATGTGGCGAGTAGATAAGTATTCTGCCAGGGGCGCCTCCAGGAGGTTTTGCAAAGGGCAGTTCACAGCAAACTATGAATGTTTTTGGAGGGCAGAAAACATTCATAGCCATTTTTGGAGGTTTATTTAGGTTTGTGACAAAGCTAGGATTTTCAACTTAGTCTTATAGTAAATGACACAAGCCTCATTGAGCAACTGATACCAGTGCGAGAGATGTGCAACGTTCCTTTGATATTGTTCATCTAATGAACTGATCAGGAGCCCATATAAAGCAAGTTTTGCTTATTTTCTGCAACAATTCACTTGAAAAGTCTTTACCCACAAATCAGCATCACAGGAAGCTTCAATAAACATGAAGAATCAGTCTTCTGTTGGCTTGAAGAACATTTTCATAGAAAAATACTTAATATGGCATAATATGAATAATAATGATAATAATAAAAAACATTCCTAAGTATTTTTTTATTTATTTCCAGAACTGCACATGAACCTTTTTGCAAAGTAAGGAAAATGTCCTTTTGTACAAGGCGCCCCTTTGAGGCAGGATTCTCAGCTCACTAAAGCTCCAGCATTCTCTGAAAATGATTAACAAGCAAAACCTCCAAGGCTCCTTCAAACACCAAAAAAGACTAGAGATTAACAACCTTTGACGATGCAGGGATTTCCAGATTCAGCTTTGTTTAAAGTGATGGAGCCTGCAAGATCACATTTGCACCCTTCTGATTCTATAAATGCAACGACACAAGCACAATCCTGGGGCTTTGGTTGCAGGGAAACAGTTACAAGTTCAGCACCACGGACAAAGGCCCAAGAAGCATGAAAACGCTTCTAGCGCTGCTCTTTATTATTACAGAGTTTGAGTTATATTATTGGTGGATGAGGGTGGGATTTCATTATTCTTTACTCCAGAGAAAGTTAGAAATCCACAGTGTACTCATAGACAAAGTTTGCTTTTTATCCATCAAAGCATGACATGCAAATGATACAGCACATCTTTCAGCTCCTGTGGGTTGTGAGATTGGGTCTCTCACAACCCACAGTTACATGTTTTACAGTCATCTGAAGTCATCTCAGTGGTTTCCAGGCAGCCAACAATTGCCTCTAATAAGCTAAAGTATCTCTCTCATGGAAGATGGTCCATATGGGAGGACGAGCTCACAAAGATGTAGTTTTTATTTTTACAGCAAAAAATTGACTTTTTTATCCCCCACATCTCGTCAAAGCTGTAATCAGATTGATGTCTGGGGAAAACTGGAAGCCAACAAATCACGTGATCATGAGTCACGTGATCAACAGCTGGTTGCTACGACTGGCAAAATCCCACGAAGAAGACAGCAAGAAGTAGTTTTCCTTGTAGTTTGTAGTTTGTTTTTATCCTCTTAGGACAATGTGCAGGTGACTCCACCAGCATTCTCACAACATGGGACAGTTCATAAAAAGTCTTGTTGTCATTTGAACATGTTGAATCTGCAGCTGTTCCATAAACTCGCCAACTACAATTTGAACCAAACGCTGCCCATGTATCCACAACCCGATTACAATGGGCTTGTCGCTCCAACGCCAACCTTTCCTCTGATGGCTGATGGATGATGAGCGTCACGGCTAAATTATGAATATAACGTCATGTAACTGTTTACCTCTGCCGCTGCCATGATTTTTAATGACTTATAGCGTGCACAAGATTTGCAGACCTTTTATGAGGGAAACAGCTGTAGCTGGGAAGGTTTCCCATTACATTACCCACAACAATCACCTTCACTGTTTTTTTTCTTCTTCTATCACCAAAATGTTACCTTGTTACTAAAACTGGGTAAAAGTTTGCAAAATGTTTTGCAGAAAAGAATGGATTTTGATGCACCTAGTGAGTGACAAATATTTTAGTCTAATAATTGTAACGTCTCACAAGCAATTTTATACCTTCTTCCCACATAGTTAGTTATTATACTGAATGAATGAAGAAAACAAACATGAAACTTGAGCAGAAAAAGCCTCTTTGAGTGTAAATCCCCATTTAAGTAGTAGGAATTATTGGACGGTTCTTTAGCATGAATTACACCATGTGCCATCTTGGCAGATACAAAGCCTTTCATGAGAGCAGTGTTTCCCTCGGCTGAATTTGTGTATTCAATGCCAAACCGGTTGCCGACGTTGCCCACAGTGATCTCCAGAGAGTTCTTCATTTCCTTTTTTTTTTTTTTTGTGGAAGCGCAGTTTTATGCATTATAATTTTCTTCTTCAAGTTTCTACCAAGGTCCAAAATGAACATGAAGCACTTCATTCGCAATTGCAGCTCGAGTCTTGAAGGCTTGCAACGTGAGCCACTTCAACTTGTTGTGAGGAATAGCCTGTGCAGGCTCAACAATGCATACCGCCATAAACAGAAATTAATTAAACCATGAAAACATGATTATTTGTAATCTGTGTATTTGTAAAACTCTTGAAAAAGCATCGCCTATAAACCCAAGTCCTCAAACGTGGAACAGTTTCAACTTTTAAGCTCAGTGGAATTCAGGCAAAAGAAGTTATGAAGTTAGTTGAGCATCTAGAGCACAGGACTAATTATAGACAGATGAGTGTGGCGACTCCTGAAGGGAAAAGCTAAAACAGTAGTAGAAGGTGCAAAAAAAAGCTGTAGCACTTGTTGCACATAAATTTCTGCTTATTCCTTAATTATATTATTATTATTCTAATTATTAGTTTCATTTTAAATGTGAGAAAAAGAGAGACGTTCTTCAAAAATAATATTTACAATACAAATGCCAAATATTAACTTTACTTTCTTGAATTTGAAGTGTTGTGCATTACTGTAAAAATATCACAGAAGCTTGGCAAAAGAAATGAAATGAGCTGTGGACTAAAACACAGCAGGAGGGTCAAAGAGGGCTGTGAAATGCCTGTGTTATCACTGTGCCATCATTTCAGCAGCTGCTGGAAGTGCAACACACATGACAGTGTGGCACATATCAGCCGAAGATATATTAAAATGAGCCAGCTCTGTGGCAGTTTTATAAAGCCTGCAAATGTGATACTAATAACATCTTCAATATCCACCCACATGTCACAGACCAATGCTGGCACTGAATTTATTATTTTTTTCTTTTTCTCATCCCTCCTCCTCCATTGCATCTCCCGCTGACTTTTACCCCATAACCTCTTCCTCACCTGCATCTCTTCCTTTTCTTTTTTTTTTTTTCTTTCACGTCTCATTTTGGCTCGAGTATTTTGTATGAAGTGCACTCATCAGCACACACACATGGCAGGAGGGAGGAATCCCAGTACAAAAAAAAAGTGTCAGTGGGGAGTCAAGCTGTGTGTGTGCGGGCTGTTTAACTAGTGCATATGTACTAAGAGCCAGGCGACAGCTTGGTCCTGCCTGGATCACTGCACGCTCGCTGTGCCATTGTTCCTCTGACTCCCCTCTCTTACATGTGCAAAAACACATTTCCTCCCTAACAAGCTCACCTGCCCTCCATTTTCTCCTCCTTATTATTAAGGCCCAAACACCAACTGTGCATAAACTCCTCAATAAATTCTGAAAGGATGCTTCTTGTCGGGATTGGCTGGAAAAA